TTCTACTGTAGCTGTACACACTGCACACGGGAAATGGAGCAACCAAAATGACATCCCTCCCTTTCCTTTTTCCTTTCCTTCACCCCAAAAATAAATACAAAATCTATATTGTTTCTTCATTCTGAATTCAGTTTGTGAGATTGATATAATATAAGTGTACAATAAACATTTTTTAAAGAGCCCAAGCAAGCACATGTCGCTATCTTAGAATTACAAAGTACTATCTGACGTTTTTGGTCGTTTTGACTTACCGGTATTATTACAAAGACCATGAGGTCAGAAACCAAATGTTCTATCTGCTCCATGAAAATCGCCCGATTTTTCGTTGTGGTTATTAAGATATTTAAAGAACTGCATTCGTAAAAGCTTGACGTGTGGTGAAATTCAATTTTTTTACACACTAAATTTCTCAAAACTAGGTACTGAGCAGAAAGAGTTTCGGAATTCTGAGGAAGCAATGTGTCTCGGCTTTCGTCGGCTAGACCTTTTACTTTTTTTAAAATTATTTTTTTTTTTTTTGCGGACGATGACCTTTTACTTTTGCATAACATGTATGTTGGGGGCAGTAAAAAAATGAACTCGTTGATGCCTTACGCTCTCATCGACACTCTTTATATTATTTAGAAGGCAGGCTGCTCCAATCCCGTCTACCTGGACAGGGAAGGATACAATGCCCTAGCAGACGGAAATATTTGATTTTTAAAATTCCAACACGGGAATCAAACTCAAGTCTTCTATATGCGACGGTAAAGCGCCTAACCTCTAGTCTGTACCAGACGCTGGTGGTGAGGACAAGTCGAGAGATATGATCGCAAAATCTTTTTTAAAGCATCCTGTACGAGACTCTGGTTGAAAAAAAAAACAGAGCCAGGGAGGAAACTGTCCATAAATGGTCGCAGATAGACAATCAACACAAAAAGGCCATGTTTCGCCAGGATCAAATTAGGACAGTAGCCGATCACACCAGGCTGCTAACCAACTATATGTTGAGGACAAACGAAGTCTTTCTTGGAACACAACGTTGTGTGCCAAACACGATCATATTCTACAGCTTTGCTTTCGTTTGCTTTGTTTTATAAGTAGTTGTTTTCTACGCGCCCCATCGACACAATCTAGATAATAAATTATAGTTATTGAAGACGAATTGTCTGACCCAGCCAACTCAAGCTGAGAGGGATACAACATCCCACCAGAAAGACCGAGATACACAAACAAAAACATTCTCCCCACTCCGGAATCGAATCCGGGTCTCCAGCGTGCGACAGTGAAGCGCCTAACCGCTACACCACAAACTCCGGTATAAACCAAGTCTTGATGTGTGGTAAAAACCTGGACACACAAGTACAAACTGTGTGTCACTCTACGTACCTTATACTATACCTGTTTAATTTAATACATGTGTACATGTAATCGTGTTATAAGTACCTTTATAGGCTTAAGTTTCCCCAGTTTTTTTGAGTGAGGAAAAAGAAACCTTTGCACACAAATTTGTACCAGTACAATACACGATTATATTCTCTATGTCACTGATTGTCACTCTACGTTCTTCTTTCTCAGCTTGACCTAATGACATCACCATACATCATCTGCTTTATACTGTCCCTGGGGTTTTATGCACCCCGCATAATTTAGCAAAATTTGATCATTTTTTGCATAATTTCTGATTATTTTCTTTATCATTCTTTGTTAAAATTAACAGAATCGCATGATGTCGCATTTTTGGGCTCAGTTTGCATAATTTCAGAATTTTTCTTGCATACAACGACGGGGACAGACTTGTTTAACTTAATACATGTGTACATGTAATTGTGTTATAAGTAGGCCTACCTTTACAGGTTTAAGTTTCCCCAGTTTTTTGAGTGAGGAAAAAGAAACCTTTGCACACAAAGTTGTACCAGTACATTACACGATTATATTCTATGTCACTCTACATTCCTCTTCTTAGTTGCGTCATAAATACATGTAGATATATACATATTATATAAATACCAGCTTAAGTTCTCTCAGTTTGACCTAATGACATCACCATACATCATTTGCTTTATAGTTGCGTTATACATTTATAAACGCATAATATGGCAAAATTTGATCGTTTTTTGGGGGCATAATTTCACATTTTTGAGCTCAGCATAATTTCAGATTTTTTTTTTTTTAAATAAAACTGCGGGGACAGACTTATACAGTCGAGTTGGTGTCGTCGAGGGAGTGAAAAATAAATCAAGTCATCCGAAGTTCAACTTGACCGGTGGGATCTGTAAAGAAGAAGAGGTGCAGGGCCCCGAGAAAAAGTTCCAACTTAACCGAATATAAACTCAAGCGAGTTCAACAATAAGCGGAGTCAACTGTGTTGTTGCATAAGCTAAAGTTTTCCCAGCTTGATCTACTAATATTAATTTCGCCAGGGAAACCTCGAGAGAAAACACATGACTGACGGGCTGCTTGATTGTAAATCAAAGTGAAAATAGACTTGGTCAGTCATATATTCTGAATGGAGGAGGTTGCAACTGGAATATTACAGATAACAAACAAAAAGTGCCAGGTAAGACTGGGTTCCTGTAAGTTAGTATTACTTAGCTGTCCAAATTATTACTATTATTGTTTTTTTAGTAAGCGTTTTATGACACTTGCAGTGCAATAAGGTCATCTAAGTGTCGAAGTTTAGAGGTGATACAAGAAAATAACACACACACACACACACACACAGACTAAAAGTGAGGAGAGATAAGGATGAAGATCTTTGATAGGAAAAGAGGAGCAAACCACACCAGAGCACTCGTTAGTCTTCTGTTGGTCAAGAAGGATTTGGAGAACAAGAAAAAGAAGTCTGTGTCATTCTTTTAAAGTAAGAGTTTTATGGCACTTGCAACACAATACATGTATGTTGACTACGGTCATATTATACATGCCAAAGATTAGAAGTATAACAAGAGGGTAACAAACACCAAATAATGGAGGAGAGATAATGATGAAAGACTACGTACTTTTGATAGGAAATAAAGGACAAGTCACACCAGAGCACCAGCCAACTACCCATAAGCTGACTGCATTAAATCTCGGTTCACGTCCATTGGTATTTATGTCCAAAATAAAAATACTGAACCTCTACAGTCCCCGATTGACCAACTCGCACAATCCTTAATTTTAGTCTTCTCGTCAGTCCAGGAGGAATTGGAGAGGAAAAAAGAGGTCCCTGTCAAAATATACATACTCTTAAAAGTTCAAGGACATGAAACAAGGGCAGAATTCATGTTATGAAAAATTGCTGCTGCTCTTTTTAGCTTTAGTAAGCATTTAACACAATTCGGTCAAATAAGGGCTGAATATTAGAGGTGTTACAAGAGAGTCATAAACACGCACACAAAAAAGGGAGGAAAGATAAGGATGATGTTTGATAGGAAAGGAGGAGCAAACAACATCAGAGCACCCGCCAACCGCCACCGCCCCACTGCTTTCCTGGAGTCAGTTGAGAAAAAAATGCATCTCGGCACTGATTCACAACATCAACAAATGTCAGCGAACAGTAAAAGCAAACTGTTTCTATTAAAGATTCAAGACCCAGATTCAGAATTAAGGCAAAATTCCAACACTACAATTTTCAGAGTCGGCCAGTTACAAACGTACTAAACTTAAAGAATACTTTGTAACTGCATTCAAAATCAAGACGAAATTCCAACACTGCAATTTTCGGAGTTGGTGAATACATTGTAACTACTAACTGCAGGCTATGAAAAACGGATTGGATTTTATTTTGTGAGCGAGTCATTTTTATATGAAAAGCAATATTTAGAAGCGGACATACCACAACAGCATGATATTCAAGCATGTCATATCTAAATTTAGATAAAAATCCTAATTGCCAGGTTGATTCCATCAACAAGGGACTGACAAAGGCATTAAATAAGAAAAAAAGAGCTTGATAAACTCACTAGAAAGTTTGAGGAGAAGGCAGCTTTTATTCAGTTTTAGTTTTAGCAAGTTTTACTGCATTTGCAACGCAAATGTGTCATTTAAGTGCGTAAGATTAGAGGTTTTTCAGTGGAACTCAACGAGCTCGAATTCAACGAGAACTCGGATTCAACGAGAGGAGATGGATTCCTTTTTTTTCCCCTTCTTTAAAATCATTAAAAACAACCCGGATTCAACGAACACTTAAATCAGCAAGCTCGGATTCAGCGAGGTCGCTTCCGGGGTGAACAGCCCCCACAGACGTGGCTTTGCTCATTTTTCTCCCACAACGAACTCTGCCTATTCCCGGAAACCATCCACTGCACCTGCATCGTGAACCATTATTCACTTAGCCGATTGCATGCAATCTTCTTTCATACCAACACATGCGTTGTTAGCACGCATGTGTTGGGGTCGGATGGGCGGCCTGCACACATAAAACTCTGTGTGTGTGTCGGGGGACACGAGCGGCCAAGGCCTGGAACGTCGCAGATACAAACGCGTCAGTTTTTTTTTCCCCAGCAACTGATCATTATTACAATGATCAGCTAGTCTTGACGTAGATCTACGTTTCGAATTGTGCGCTGGTCTATGGAATCTAAAGCTGCCGTAAGCTAGGCTCTACACAGCAGCACAACTTCTTGGTAAACAATCGAGATGACACAGGCATGCATTTGAACAAATCTGTCTTTTTTTTTTTTTGTACAGCTCATAACATGCAGGCATTTCAGGCACCACTTGTTACTTCTCTTTATACATTACTTGCTCAGTGCCTGTAACTATCTACACAAAACTTCATGTTTGCTATAGTGAAAACTCGGATTCAACGAGATTTTAGGTCAGGCCAGGCGACCTCGTTGAATCCAAGTTCTACTGTACCAAAGAGTAAAAACACATAGAAGAGATGGAAAAGAGCACAAGGACAATAGATGTGTGAGACCAAGAAAAGATGCCAAAATGGGAGTGGGAAAGAAGAAAGCAGGAGAGACAGGATTCTACTGAGGGCATCAAAGCACCTTGGTGAAAGAACCATAAAAAAGCAACAAATAACAAGCTTGAAATACATACAAAACTTTATTTACACCATCCGTCTTGTGACAAGTCTTGTGACAAAACGATTAAAAAAACGTGACTCAATGTCAGAGGAACATTCAAATACTGACATCAATATGGTTCAAAACTCAAGTAGAATCTATCTCTCTAGCAGCTACAGTACATAACGTCCAGTTAGAAAATGTCTTTTGTTGCTTAAAATTCATTACTGATAACTTTAAACGAGCAACACACACGATTACACAAATACACAAAACTGATTTCTTGACAACAGCTATCCACAACAATGAAAGGAGAGGAGCTTCTCCAAGCAGCATTACTCTTTACAATAAAAGAGTTTTTGGATGAGAAGTAGACAACTATGATTATAATTCAAATCAAAGTGGAACAATCTCAATTCAAGAAGAAATATCTTGAGGAAGCCAAAGGTGTGAACTGTCTATAAAAAAAAATCTTGAGCTTTTCAAACCCCATGGAAACGCTCGTGCTCAGGGACTCAAAATTTATAGATCATAACGTCTCAAACATCTTGTATTAAGATTTTTTTGTGAAGTCGCACAAAAACTGGCCAGTGTCTGAAATCCAGATTTATCTTCAACGCCTTGGGGATGCTCATCCAGGAACATTTAAATATAAACACATAAAAGTAAAAAGAACAATGATTGATAAAACAGAGACAGGTGTGATGTTCTTCTTGATTTAAAATGCAAGACAAACACACTTATGCTAAGCCACGTACAACACTTATAGCAGAATTATTAATGATAAGAATTAAAGAACGTCTTAAAAACTGTAACCCATCATAAGCTTATATTAATAATATTTACATTTTTACAAATTAGGTTATCCATCTATCCCGAGGGGAAGACACCTTATCTTTAGAAACAACTGTCACACAGTCACATAATACAACAATTCGAACTTCACAAACAAATCTTAAAAACTCGGCCCGCCTATTTATAATAATATTTGGTCTGGTTGAGAGCTTTTTCTGCAAACTGGTCGTCAGTGATGCGCTCCCAGTCACGCTGGGTCTGCCCGACGATGAAGCCCAGGTCCCTGCGACGACTCTGATTCTTTTTCTCCTCCAGGTCCGCCCAACGCACCTGCACAAACACACAAGTAAGCACACACTGTTCAGCAACACATACAAAGGACACAACTGTACATTTAATGTAAGCAATTTCAGTATCTATATTTCCACCTACCAAAAAGAAAAAAAAATGTTAGACTGTTTGATTTTAATGGCAAAGAAACAGGGAACAAAATTATCTAATGACATTCAAGCAAAATCAAATTAACTTCATATATATGGTATTTTACTCCCGAACTCCTGAATAAGGGCTTTGACAATCACAACTTCCCTTGTTCACCAGATTTCAGAGCCAGTATGGCAAAACTATTCAATATAAGTAGAAAAAGTCACTTAAACTATAAAAACTGAAACATAATTGTTGGGCACAAACCAGACATACCCTCTTTTTGCCGGGCAGAGACTCTCGGGAAAAGTACTCGTCCGCCATCTGGTCCAGCTGTAGGTAGTCGTTGAGGCTCTGGTGCTCTCCGATATGTTTCTTTCCTGCCCTCAATCCGTCCAGCTTGTCTAGATACACACACGAGAGGAAAGCATTCACAGAGTCAGTACAACAAGCTTTTCTCTTCAACAAGTATATATTATTTATACATCAATCTTTCTCTCTATACAAAATATCTAAGTCAAACTTCCATCACTGTTGTGTCAACAATAAGTACTGTTCACACGCTTATCATATCATATTACCTCCACAATGAAGTCATAAAAATACCATCATCACTAAAATGGCGGACAAGAAGATTTTAATTTTTTTTTTTTCATTTCTTCCTCCCTCATGTTTGCAACAAACCCACAACAATTATTAATCCTTTTCTAACTTCTACACATTGCACACTCTTAAAGGAAATTTGAAATTTGGAATTGTCTTCTCTACAGATGAAGCAACACTTTCAACTATTAATAACAAAGAGTGTTCCTTTTCAAAAGTATCTTGCATAGGAAACTGTTTTCTTTAACTAATATGAGTACAAACAAATCTAAAGAGAGTGTTGCAAGAGCTGGGGAACTTCCACTGTTCATTTCCTCCTCTGAAGGATAAATAAAGCTCATCTTATCTATTTCTCCCACGAACAAAATAATTGACAAAATTGCATCATTAAACATTACATTTAATCAAGATATACAACAACAAAAAATATGATCTTACCTAAGGTCTCCTCTGATTTATCGAGTTCCCACTTGGACTTTTGATAGATCTGTCAAAACATTAGAGAAGCACAAAGGCCTGCAGGTTAACACAGAACACGCAGCAAGACCAGCTGCACCAGAGCCAAGCTCAACCCAAACCCCATCCTTACTCCCCTCACCCCCATGGCAACACACCAGGATGCTAGTCATATGTTACTGATGCTGCGTGCAGCCATAAAACAGACATTCATGCATAAACACAATATCTCAAAACACTTAACAAATTAGGAACTTCCATGTGAGAAGGTTCCGTTTGCAACAAAACTCTTTTGCTGGTGGAACATTTTGGCGGTGGTGCTGTGACTTGCCACTGCCTTCTATGAGTAAAAGACAAGGGTTAATATAGTAGTAATGATGTCAGATTCCTTTCAGTTTTCTGTTGACAAAAGCAAACGATATAAAAAACTGCAGTACCTGAAATGGAACTGACCATTACTAGAGAAACTACACACATTCACTCACATATACCTGCACACACACACTCTCAAAGAAACAAAACATAAGATAACAAATGGCAAAACTTCCAACAGACTGTATACCAAAAAAAAGCTGAAAAAACAAAATATTCAGAGAAAAATAATTCAGGAGAAAAACCTTGTCAGCAAACTCTGTGAATAAAATGCTGAGCATTAGCAGCTTAAACTGAGTCAGTACATTCTTTGAGCAAACCAACGGCCATGGTCACAGCCTCTAAAAGCCGATCCCCTCTGTAAATATAGATACACAATTAATAAATTATGTACAACAAAATAATAAAAACATATGATAGAGTCAGTTCTCCCAAAGTGCACCTAAAGGTAAGCTTTACAAGAGTCTCTCGTTTCTCTCTTTGGCAGACTTGCAGTCGAACAACATCTGTGAAGGAAGTCCATTATACAACCAACAACCTGTGGCAAAAACAAGACAGTAAATTGTATTAACAGGAAGTAATCTCCTATGTCTGAAACAGGAACAAATAGTAAAAAATTAATGACCCACAGATAATACTGTCACAAAACCCAGTGAAAAGCTGGAGAGGAAAACTCAGTCCAACAGATTAAATTTTTTCGCTAGCCATAGAGAGTCATCTGTGGCCACATCTGTACAATTGACCTGAATGGAATTATGGATGAATGGTTCTGAATATCATATTTACAGATATCTGGTCGATAAGAACATTTCTCATAATGATTTTTTTTAAAAAATAAACTGTGGCTTGCCCTTGAAACCTGACGGATAGGAAATACGTTAATGGAGATATATGACAAAATCAGTACTGTGCAGGTCATGCTTTGTCCAACTGAGGATTCAGACAGATATTAGCTGGTTAATCATTATTGTATGGCCTTTGCAGACAAGACAGCTCCAACTCTACAGTCACAAAAGAATCAGTTAGCAGAACAGACCATAATATGAGTCAAACAGATTTTTGGTACCAAAAAACATACGGCTATAGTTTCATTTCTTTTCTTCTTCTTTTTTTTTGAGTGCATTCATTCAATGACTTATTTTTCAAACATGACACATTCTGTCTAGAATAAGTCTGAGGTCATGCGAGTATCTTTGACGACATTCCATTTTTTGGTGTTGGCATTTACTTACAGCTTAAACAAATCACTATACACTAACAGCTGATGATGAGCTGTCTGATACATTCATCTTTATCCCAATTAGTCTAAGATGCTATAAGACAGCCACACAAAATGTTTTTCTGCTTCTTTGGTGGGAGGGGTGTCAATTTTTTCCCCCCCTCCTGTTTTGCTTATTAAATTTCTCTCTTCTGGTGTTGGTTCTTTTCTTTTTTCTTCTGTTGCACACAATACCAAAGTATGATTTTTCTAACTGTCCACATGAATTCATAAATGCAATAAAGGTATCTAACAAAACTAGATTCTCAAAGGTACATTCAAACAATTCAAAGTACAAAACTATATATATAACTGAAGATGACTAAACACTGATTCTAATATAAGTACCAGCATTATCACAGAATGCCTGGGTGTTCTTTCGTTTTGTTTAAATTCTTTTTAAAGTACAAAGCACCAAAATTAGCACTGCTCTTCTGCAGAAGAATTTTTTCAATTAAATACCACTACTAATTTGGGGGGGAGGGGGGGATTTTGGGGTTTGTGTTCATGCATAGTTCATGTTTTTCTCCTATTGTACTCTTATTACCACACACCCAGAAAATAACTGCAAAGTAAGAAGCTACAGATCTATATTACAAGCGTAGATGACTAAATACTGATTCTAGTTATGTTAGAGTGCTTAACTTTTTTGTCATTGCCTGTTGCTTTTTAAAAAAAATTAAATAAAAGAAATAAAAACCACCACTGTTGGACTGCTCTTCTGCAGCATATCCATTCTGATTAACGGCACACTGTCCATTATGTATTTATGTTTATAGGTGCGTAGGGGGAGGGGGGGGGGATGTTGTTTGGAGAAAGTTCATCGTTTTCTACAACAGTACTCATTTTATTAACACACACCCACACAAACCTTTTCTTCATGAATTCATAACTGGATATAAGCTCTGTATCAGTTTTAAATTCCAAATGGTACACTCACTGAATTCAATGAATGAGGCTATAATATAATAAACATAGATGAAAGTTTGAATATAGTACAAGTACCAGCAGTAAGTTCAATAAATTTATTTTTTGGGGGGGGAGGGGGGGTAAGGAGTGAGTGGCGTAACTAATTGGTCAAAACTGTTACAGGTCACAGAAAGGTCAGTCTGGTGTACAGTACTCATCACTCATTTTGACTAAACTTTTCAATCTATCTTAATCAAACATGCTTTTACAGTTTGAATTGAATACAACTCAACTTGCATCCTCTGGAAAAACCCCATTGAAAAAAACCCCCAAAACACTGCACATTCTCAGCACTGCCTGAAATACACACATAAGACTTAATCTAGGAACAAAACTTGGAGGTAGGGGGGGCCCATTATTTCAAGGTAAATAATTAGATCTTGTATTTTTGTGCTACTTTTCTTTCTTCACATCAGTTTTTCTGTATCTAGCAGTAAACATATGTACCTCGCATAAAATTTGCTTTGTGGCAGATTGGCGGATTTCTAGCCACAGTTGTTCTTGAGCGGTGTATTGAACTGACTATAACTATATTCAATGGTATCATTGCATTGAGTGTAATACCGGGTGGATCAAAAACTGTGCACTTAAAAGCACGATAGCATTTTTAGTGCACAGCTACATATAAAACACCGACTTCTAAAATACGGTTTATCATTATTATTCCAGTGATGAATGAAAGTTTAACATCACCATAATATAATAATATATAGCATTTGTATGGGGCAAATTCCTGCTCAACAGCAAGCTCTCTGCACTTTACAATCTATTTTATCACAGTTTTAAAAATATGCAACTTATGCTGTTCTCTCTCTAGCTTTTTCCTGTCTCCATCAGTACACAGTCACTAAAAAGGCACATAGCAATGAGAGCAACTGGAAAGAACTACTTAACACTTTGCAGTCACACAGACAGCAGTACAAAATATCCCATCTGGTCACCCAGCCAGGAGAGTGACTACAAAGGGCTTCTCTGGCCTGGCGCAGTGCACCAGGTGACTGGAACGGATAATTTTCACTGTCGCATTATTGCGCCAAGTGACCGCAAAGTGTTAAAAATGATACCCCAAACCACTTCCAAACATACACACAGCAGGCTTATACAAGAGATAACAGAGGAGATAGTGCCAGACTGTTTCTTAGGAAGTCAAATGTAAAAATTAAACAATTTGCCCACAAATCCACAACAAAAGACAACTGTACCCCTCCAAAGCCAGCATCCTCCTCCTCCTCCTCATCGTCTTTCTCTTCTTTTTCTTTCTTTTCGTCTTTTTCTTCCGGCTCTGTATCCTCCATGACAACCTAAGAGGAAAAATAGAACAATTAATCAAGGTATGTCATTGAGCACTGTTGTTAAGTTATCTACGAGGCCAGACCTCCGAAATTGAACTTTATCTCAAGTTAAACAAAGCCGATAAGATGGGTGCAAAGCCTTGTGGATATTACAAACTACCCATTCGATGTTGATGTTATGAAGGACAGACAGAAAGAAACAACAGAAGATAAGCCAAGAAAGACCTACCTATGGCACCCTCAAACCATCTACGGTACGGGATTTATATAAGAAGAGTATTTGACAAAAAGAAATTCACAAAGCAAACAATCAAATTCACCAACAAGCTGGACATTCCCTTAAGGGTAGAATCCGCCTCCAAAAAAGACATCTGCACATGCAGGCAGAGCGTTTATCTCACTGAACCTCGTTCCTGAGTGATATTGGGACATGGGTCTTTTTGCCTAATCCTGACCTCAGTCATTATTGGGAATATATTGACAGACAAGTTTTTCACAATATGGCTGTAAAGCCAGCACACAGCAACTATCATCACAACGACTTTTCCTACCAAAGAACCACATAAGAAGCCAATTCCCACATTATACTAATGTCATTTTTATGGATCTTAGCAATGATATCTGTGAATCTGAACTCAGTCTTCGCGTTACAATCCTTTGGTCTTTTCTAGAATATGAAATCAAGATGAACTTTTCAAACAGTATAAAAAAAAACAGATATTAAACTTAAAAACAAAGTCTGATTTGTTTTGAAGATTCTGAAGAGGTATAGAACTGTGCCAGTTCTCAATCCCTAGCCTGTATTGGTTCATTACATTTGAACTTTTAGAATAATGATAATTATTATCGCAAAATGACAAGGCTAGGGCAATGAGCTGGCTAAAAATAGTAAGGGTTCAACGCGTTAACTCAAAGAAACTAATGATCCAGACTATCAGTATACAAATCAACAAGCTGAGACTCAGAGCTACCTCAGGGATAGAATCCTCTTGCAGCAACCACCTCAAGTCCAGGCGGATGTAATGGCTGGGCAGCGGTTCCCATTGAGACTTCACCTGGAACAAACAAGGATAGTCAGTGGCTGCCCGAAAAACAGACCAAACAAAGATAGTCGGTTTCTTCCTGAAAAACACAAAAGTTCAGCTAAAATTTACAGTCAGTGCTTTCACACTGCAGCTCATCACTTTACCACTGAGTCAACGGCCACATTTCATCAACTACACTTCACAGCAAACCAGATCACACCATAGTGCTCACCAACCAACCGTTAGCTTTCTATTCAATCAGACCTCCTGTCTTCAAAGACAAAGTAAATAAAGTTTTACTTCGCTCTAGTTGAGCAAAAAGTAGCACATCGGCATGCTAATAGTCACTTGGTGCTGGGAAAAAGCAAAACAGACAAGACAGACAGATATAACAGAGGAATAATAAACGACCTACCAGTAACATCCCCCAACTACCCATGAAAGTAAATTGTTAAACTTAGTTCATGTTTTAGTAAGAATTTTACAGCACTTGCAACACAAATAGGTAATATAAAAGTTAAAGATTAGAGGTGTTGCAACTGGATAGTAACATACAAAGAAAAGGAGGAGGAGAGATAAGGACGACAGATGTTTGACAGGAAAGATGGTGCAAACCACACCAGAGCACCCGCCAACCACCCACATAGTCAAAACCACATAACAAACAATAGAAAACAAAAGCATGCTTAGTACAGATCTCACTTCCAACAAAGAACTAACAACATTTTTAATCAGCCGGGAAAAAACCCCCGACAAAAACATCAGCTCAAGTACAAATCCAGCCATTCAACCCAACATTGATAATCCTACACTTCAGTTTGGTTTCTCAGCACAAACCTTCTCAATGTCCCACTCTGTCCACTTGTGGATATTGCGCTGTATACATGTAGAAATGTCAGCTTTCAGTTCTCCAACGTACACCTAAAAACCGCAAATGATAGAAAGAACAGGCCGACATTTATAATATGATTGTTAAGTCCACTGTACAGAACAGTTCTCTATCCTTGATTCTTTATTCTGAAACCCAAGAGGCATCGAGTTATCCTCAACACAGTGTATACACCATTTTTAAAAAAAATCTTGTTAGAGAGTTGGATGTTGCATTGCAAATTACAATGAGGCACCTCGACATCTAACAAGGGCAAAAGTAATTTAGAAAAGGATTAAGCGTTGTCTGTATCAGAACGTCAATGTACCATCTGTCCATTTGAGCTGAGGGCATGAACATGCACATACTCACACGTGCACACAAACACACACACACATCCACACACACATATACACACACACACACACACACAATTGTATGCATGTACTCACAAAACCACACATATATTAACCAAAAATAAATATTAAAAAAACAAGTTGCTATCTCATTTCTATTAACACAATGATGGATCAAATGCTAGAAAACAATCTTAAACCCTCATATATCTAAATTTATCTTTTCCAGTAGCCCATTAGATCTCTTACTTCATTTTTTTGGGGGGGTATCATTATCTAACTATAAAAACAAAACCAGCACTACTTTTGTGAAAAAATCGACACTGGACACCAAATAATTAAGTATTTCAATCACAAAAAAGGAAAATTTGCCTGAAAGCCTCTTGACTTAGCGTAGCTCCAAAACTCCGAGAAATGAGAGACTCTCTCATTGGTAGCATCGAGGATAATGAACGGGAAGAAACCATCGTCTACAGTTTTCTTGAAAGACTTGAGCAAACTCTGGCGATACGCCTCTTCTACGGCTTGTTCGTACTCATACTCTAGAACCTGTGATGTAGAAGAAAGCATAAAAGTTTGAGTTAAGAGGTGCACACTCACAAAAGTAAAACTGATAGAGAGAAACAGATACACTCATTTGTTTGAGAAGCACATTAACACAATATCCCGCATTTAGGGCAAGGGGATAAAATGCAAGACCGATAAACAGAAACCAATGCATTCATTTTGTTTGTTTAAGTTAAGGGAAGAAGCTCATCAACACAACAATGGGCATTTAGAGCGAGGGACAAAAGCAATAAAGATAGACAGATATATCAGAAAAAGAAGCAAGAAGAATGACCTACCAGTGGCGCCCATGACCTCTTGCTGTAGAGAGAAAGTATGACTAGACAACAATAAATCACACTGGGCTAAGAAGGGAAGCAGAGGCATAAGAGTTATTTATTCTCAAGGTGAATAGTATTATTAGTTAGAGAAATAATAGCCACATATGAATCAAACATCAAAACAAATACCTTTTCAAGCCATTCTTTTTGTAATGTAAAAATCAGAATGCAATCCACTCTTACAATCAATGCCAAAAGATAATAAATTTGGAGATCAAAATCTCACAACATTTTTAAGAAATTGCCGTAAGCCAGTTATTTCCCTTTTCAAAAACAAAAAAAATTGGTCAAATTTTAATTGGAATGAGTAAAATGGTTCAGCTGGAGACAGCACGACTTGAACAAAATCATGACACATAGAGTATTCATACAACAAACGTTATTTTGACCTTTTTTGAGTGTAAATTGCTAAATCAGTAAAACATACTTAAAATACATTTCCAAAAACAACAGCTGACAAAATCAAGAAGGGAAAATTTTTATTCTCTGACCTTCCGCTTGACTTTTTTCCCAGTGTCAGGGTCGACCTCCATCTTGTCTGTCTCCACCATGAAATAATCATCCAGGCACAGCATGCGTGGAGCTCCTCCTCCATAGCTGATTTCTTTTTCCTATATCGAAAGATATATCCACAATCATTGCCATAAAGACCAAACAACTTCTCAAGAAACTTAGGGGACTGCTAGCATGGAACTTAGTGTGTCAGCTTCATATTCAAAGCAAGGGAAATAACTTGTCATAACACCTGCCATGGTTTCCGAATTTCGGAGAAATTCACCGCAATAATGTTCAAAACTGGTTTTTATTTCTAATCCTACCTTACAATGCTATTTCAGAAGTAAAATCTACATCTGCAGCCTATCTTATACAAAAATGTAATTCAAGCAAAAGCGTTATTCTCACAATTAAACAGTAGGAGAGAGTGACTTGAACACCACAGTCGTTCTTTCTCCTGCAGCACAAAGTAGATAACTGTACACATACATTTTAAAACTTTCCACATATTATACATCATTAAAACTAACACAAATAGAGGCAAAATGAATAATGCAACAAAAATATATATATGCAGTCTTTAAGACACAAATACACAAACATTCATTCAAATGCTTTACACACACACACACACATGCTCATACACAAACAAAAACAAAAACATCCACTCACATACAAAACCACATATTTATTCAAACTGGGCACAACAATGTTAAGACACACATACACCCATCAAATCTAAACATGCCAGGTCCAAAACCAAACACACGTGCACACATGCTCACATATAAACAAAGACACACTCGCACATGCTCACACAAAAAGATCAGCAGCCACTCAAATGGTGAAATCACATGTATATCATCACCATCATGATAAAATCGGATAACAACAAAATTTTCCATTTTGCTTTTTTTCGTGAAACATATTCTACAAAGTATTTTTCACAAGCTGGTTAAAAACTTATATTCAAATTAACAATCAAAAGTGGACTTTTTAAACGGTATGAAATTCTGATAATTCTTAGCCATCTGTTTAAAAAAATCTTCTTTTTTTTTTCTCTTGAAAAATGTATCAAATGTCACTTATCTATGCTTATCACGACGGCAACGATATTCATTCACAAACTGTGAACAATACGAATGTACACACCCAAACACACCCAGTCACAAACCAAACACAGACATACACAAACATTAAGGCCCACCCCTAGTGCAGACACTCACCCTAAGCAGCTTGCTGACATAAGTCTTGCCACTGCCCGGCAGTCCCCGAATGATGGTCACTATCTGCGGTGGCCGATCATTTCGCCCAGGAGGACACAGTAAGTCTTCCACCTAAAATGGACAAATACCAACATGATCATTAATATGTTGTGCAGTTGTGCTTGAGTTTGACAATGGAAAAGCACACTGACACCTTAAAGCCATTTAATACAGGGTAAAGTAAAAGGCAGATAGAAACAATAGGGGAAAGAAAAGAATAAAGACCAACCAAAAAAACAAACAAGTTCATAACTCAGTTATTAACTGTTGCGTAGTTGAGAGAAATATAAATTCATCCGCATGAAGAAATATAATTTTCTAGTGTTTAAACAAAGCAAATTCTCTCGTGAAAATACAAAGGCTAAAGGTCTCAATCACATAGCTGCCACTCAGGAATTTCAAAAAAGGAGGAAATTCACGTGAAGGCGGACACGCGCTCTCGAGTAAAACCAGTGAGATCCTGAGGCAATATATTGGAACATATATGTTTTTGGAAGGGAAAACTGTCATATTTGTTAACTATAGGCTACTGAATTAAAATGTATTTGAAATTTTTTTTAAAATAATTTTTAAAAAACCTCCCCAAGACACAAAGGTTGGACTAACAAGAATTTGACTAGGTTTGGTGACTAGTACAAATATTTCTTTCACTTTAGACTTGTGCAACGATGTAGAGCAGTAGATCTACATGTATTGGATTAGGAGAAACCTTTGCCTAGATCTAGATTTCTATTTACGAGATTTCTTTATATCGCACCAAACGCAAAGTGCAGCACCTGGCTTGTTCAATCTTATGAACTTTTGAAGTCGCACACAGTCTGCTCCTTTTTCAACACGGCTCCATTTATTTTTGCATTCTGCATCAATTTCTCTCAAATTTCCTACGTTTTCAATGACAAACTCGGTGCGCCATTGTCCCGATGCTCGATCGACACTGTTGCTCTACAATGAACAATGTGAAACTAAACTAGCGCACGGCAGGGACAGAACGAAAGTAAGAAGATACGTGCGAACATGCGCAAGGCACGTTTTCGTCTCACTCCCGGTTCGGTGTTTCCGTGCGTAAAAAAAGGATCGCAATTTTCGGCCAAGAGCTGTCCAGCGGAGGAAGGAGGAAAGTAGCGGGAAAAGCTAGATGAAGCTGCTTCCGTTATTTAGCGGAAAAGTGGCAGCTATGCAATCAACAACAGACAGGAAAAATATTGACAGCATGCAGCCATTTAAAAAGTCGTTTGTGAGAGGAAATATTAATCAGTACAGAAGATTTTTCACATAAAACTGGCAATAAAAACTTTGAACTAAAACAAGCATTAAAAACTAGGCAAATTTGAACAAGTCAGTGAGAAAAGAAAAACTCTAAGGTAAACGTGTTAAAAAAAGACTTTTTTTCTGATTGTACAATATATCAAAACATGTTCACAGGCTTCAGACTTTACCTTTACAACTTCAGCTTTAGGCAGCTTTGCTGGTTGGGACGGGGCAGGAGAGTGTGTGGATGGAAGGCTACCTCTAGGAGGAGTGCTGACGTGGCTAGGGGATAGTCCTCGGCTGAAGCGACTCCTAGTTTAAGAGAGAGCACCCAAAATTATTTTTTCAATCCCTGACTAAACTATAGTGACAACAAATGGATATAACAGTGTTGATCATAATACAATGCTTTAATCAAGCCTATGTCTTTGTCTCAAATCAAATTTCCCTGCTCCCCCCCCTCTTTTTTTTTAGTCCAGGTTTATTTTCCATCCTAGAGAGCCTTGTTGCTCCTACAGTGCCTTGCTGACAAATGAAAAATTAATTGTGTTACATCCCGTGGATAAATTAAATTTCCTTCAGCATGCAAGTTCAGGCGATTCAGTTCACCTTCGGCAATGGACAAATTACTTCAAAAACCATGACTGAAAGGCATTTTCAAGCAGGCTATGAATGAAACCTTCATCTCTACATCTTTTGTCTCAAATCAAATCTTCATCCCCACCCCCCATCCCCTTTTTTTGTCTTGTTCCATTTTCCTTCCTGCAGTGCCTTGCTCACAAAGGAAAAAATCTGTTATGCTTCAGCTCGTACATACCCGTACGGCTCATTAAAAGAGGGAGATAAAATTCCTGTTCATCAAATTTATTTCAGTAGCACATATGTATAAAGGTTAAAAAAATGTAAGTTAAAAGCAGTGAAAGGCTGACTGATGACAAAATAATTTTAAAATTTTAAAAATAGACCTGTGAAATACCTACCTCCCCATGTCCCTCTCCTCCATTGCACGAGAGTCTAAGCCAGAATATCTATCATGACCAGAGAGGGCAGTTGTTGCATAACCCTCCCGAAACCTTTCTCGGGGCCATACGTCTCCTCGTTCCACTGGTGCTGCCCGAGTGTCTTCTTCTGCTGATCTGGAGTAGTCTCCCCTCCTTTCCCCATAGCGATCATCTCCCCTGTAGCGATCTTCCGCTCGGAAGCGATCGTCTCCTCTACCCCCGTAACGGTCAATGTCAGAAGGGTTCCGACCATCGCGATTTCTGTCTCTTTCCCTATCTCTGTAACCAGTTCGCTCCCGTTCTCGTTCTCGATCCCGATCACGGTCAGTCTCCTCGAGACGGGAACTCGGGTCTCTGTAACTTTTAGGCATATCACGATCCCGATCACGGTCACGATCATCAGTCCGACTATACAAGTCCCTGCCTTCATATTTACCCCCTCGACCACTCATCCAATCACGATCAGACTCGGCATCAAACCTGTCCGATCTTTCCGACCTTCCTCCTCTTTCGTCGGAAATACGCCTGTGATCACGATCAAAAAGCCCTGACCCCAAACGGTCATCAGCATCTCTCCGAGCACTTTCTCGACCTGTGTACCCAAATCTAGACTCCTCTTTTCTTTCTTCACGAGGCTCCCGGTCTCGGTCTCGGGACCTGTCCTCCCAGCTGTACCCAGCTCGTCCTGTCTGGTCATACGGTAACCGGCCCCTCTGTGCCGCATCCTCATCACCTTGTCGCATGTCAAGGTCACGAGTCCTTCTCATATCCGAGTCCCCATGACCATCCCTGGTCTCTTCCCTTATCTGGCTGAATCTGTCTCGACCTACCAGATCAAATAAAAATCACAAACTGTTCCAATATGTTAAAGGAAATCATGTTCAAAACAAACCAAACATTCAATATAGATTATCACTACACTATGACTATGACCTTAATGATAACAGTAATTTTTACAATAAGCTGCAAAGCTGTAAGTCCCATGGGGGTTTGAGACTGTGAAATGATGCAAATTTACTGGCATTGGCAAAGACGTCCTGTAAGCCTATGTAAGTTGACAACAGCTTTGTGTGGACTGTTCCTTAATTTTGGGGTGAGCATTAAAAAAATGAAAAAAGGCATACTGGTTTTTTCCTACATATTTCACCACTGAAATCAGAATCAGCGCCTTTACAACAGCCACAGACACACACATGATATCCCCTTCTCCTCACCAGCGTAGAGACTGTCTGTTTCACGCTGCGGTCTGCTCTGATCAGTCCGCAGCCGCTCTGAGACTTGCTTGGCCACAGGGTCCTCGACCTTGTCACTCGTCTGACCGTGACCGTAGTCGATGACTTCTGTCGGAGCTGCAGCTGAGGAAACAATCAACCATAGTTGACCTTATTACTTCAATGTTCAGTTTAGCTTTAGTTTTAGTAGAGGTTTTACGGCGCTCGCAACTGCATAAGGTCATATGAGCGCCAGAAGATTAGAGGTGTTACAAGAGAGTAACAAACATAAAAAAGAAGAAGGGGAGATAAGGGCGATAGATGTTTGATAGGAAAGAAGACGCAAACCACACCAGAGCACCCGCATACCACACACAATGTTCAGTTTGCTCCTTTGAATGAGGAAAGAGAAGTACACTGACACAATAACATTCCGAGCAGGGAAAGAGGCAAGAAAAAACATATGGACAGAAAAAAAGAAGTAGGACCTACCAGTGCCTCCCTTCTCCCCTCCATTCAACTGCTTTGTGTATGTAAAAGTAATTTAATCAATATGATGATTAAATTGTAGATGTTTCACCGCTTTCAACCCAGCTTGTCCGGGCAGAGTAGGATGCCATATTTCGGCAGACAGACGGAGGCACTGAATAAAAAACTTGCCCACTGGTGATTAGAACTCACATCTTTCTCCATGCAAAGGTGAAGAGTCTTACGGACAACTGTTTGAGAAAGTATGATGCTTCTCCAATGCATAAACTAAATTTATGTAACTGTCTCAAACAAGCAGATCAGGTTGCTAATCGCCTTCGTGCCCCAGTGCAAAAATCTGACACGACAAAACAGGACCCAAGACAATCCCCACAGGTGTGAAGTACTAAACCAAACAACTCGGGGAAAAGAACTTTTAAAGAATATATACACATGAAGATAAAAAACATTTGTTCCCAAAGAGTAAAAAACAAACTCTTCAGCTGGTTGACATAGATAGAAAACATATCCATGGAACGTTGGTCAAATTTGACCCCCCCCCCAAAAAAAAACAACAAAGGAATAAAAAGGAAATAACGAGACAGATAGGCAAGAGGTGGTATACCATCCAGCAACACCTTGCAACCACCTATACTTCAGCAATTCAAGGAAGAGACAGCAAAATCAGCAAAAAAGATCAGTGTCAGTACAGAGACACTGACATTTCAATTTTGTGATGAGCTGACAACTCACGTTTTTTGTCCTTTTCAACACTACCATGGCCGTAGTCGAAGCTTTCAGCTGGTGTGAAGGGTTTCCTCTCCACAGGAGCCTCATACGACGAAGGCCAAGGTGCAGGTGCGTACCTAAGAAAAGAAAAAGGGAAGAGAAGTCTTTAGACTGATGCGCAAGTACACAATGTCAATTTATTATAATCTTCCTTTTCCTCATCAAATTCAAAATACACCACATACCGAAACCTAAAAATGCTTTGCAACCCCTGCCTCTCAAATGCAGCTCAATGAATCTGCAAAAGGATTTAAGACTCTAAATTCCGAGATGACAATTTGTTCAGGTAGGTCTTGCCTTAAGATCAAGATATGTTACCAGATTTTTACTGAACTGCAAGTTAAAATATATGTAGGCACAACAGTAAAGAAACAATGAAGATAAAATGTCAAATGAAATAAGGAAATCCGAATAAACCTCATCTCCAGAATTTCTGACTTTGTAAGATTCATCATATACCTCTATTACCACCAACTTCTCTCACCTGTCATAAGGATAACGGTCGTAGCCATAGGGAGGCAGTCGGGGTGGTGGTGGTGCATATGGGTCCAAGTATGGGTCTCTGGGATAGTACGGGTCTGGTGCGTAAGGATCGTATGGGTCTCTTGGATATGGTGGGAGTGGGGGCTGGAATAAAATATTTTTTGCTCATCTTAGTGGAAGTTTAGCAATTGCAGAAATACTTACAACAATACATTTCATATGAAACCATGTGTCAGCATGGCACAAAGGGTGAGTAAGAGAGCATGCGTATTCAATATATGAAAACTCTACTGAAAAGAAAGGAAAGACAGTTATTTCTTTTACGGGTGGTGGGGTTACTACCGTTAGTTATGCTCAAAGGGGGCTTTGTAGCAATGCCAATGAAAATTTAAATTTTTACTTTTGCCCCCTTTTTTTTGGTACCTAAGAAAGAATTTTTCAATTCTAAGAATTATGCTTCTTGAATTTTGAGAATCGGTTCATAAATAAAAAAGTTATGGGGTTGTAAAAGTCAGCAAAATATGGATGACCCACATATAGGAAAATACTCCTAAAAAGTGGACCACGCAGTAGCAGATTCTGTAAGAAAATCGACGATATCTCGGTAACTAATCTGAGTGTTCGAGAGAAACTTGGCTACCCGATGTGTTTTTGAGTGTAGAAATCATTTCGGCATTCAGATTTACTACCAATTTCGTAGTTATTTTGTTATAATTAAAATTGTGGTGTACATATTACGATTTTGCGAAAAAGGGGTGTCGGGATGAGTCCATTTTATTTATAGCATCGTATCACAACATGGGATCTTTAAGAATATATGTCGGCAGCGTGACGAAATAATTGCAAAGCTTTTTATGATGACTTCATACCATGCCAACCGTAAAAGATAAGTTAATTCAATCTAACATGCCGCACAATTAAAAATTCTTTTTCCTCGTTGAGACGTGAACACCCCGAGACGAGATAACCTCGCCTCGGAATACCCCCATAGTGATGTTACAGGGGAATAGAGAGAAAAACAACCGGATGCGCCCGCCCGCCATTGCCCTATTTCAAGTGACCAATGAACGGGCCCGCAATAGTCATGCGGGGATTTGTAGTTCACATACATTTGCCACGAGAGTGAGGGGAAAACGGCCGGTCTCCGTGCGAAGCCGCTTTGGATAGGGGGGTAGTCGTGCATTTATGATTGGGTCTAAACAACTACTTGACACAGAACGTTCAAATTTGAGCACACTATAGAGGATAGATAGATCTATTACCATCTCGGCGTTGAAATTCACACTCCTTATAGTTTTCGGTGTACACGATACGAAAGTGTTCCCGACACCAAAAGTATAGGTTAATTTATGTGTATGAACTTCAACGTCCACATATCATTAGTTTGCCCTATTTTCTTATTGGTTGCCGAGTTTCATTCGGATTGGTTCGGAAATAGAGCAGACCGAGGTTGACAAAGTTAGTCACCTACGCTTCGGCCGGGTCCGCAAAATCGCCCGTAAACGGGGACCAAATTTTTGCCTCGCGGGAAAGCCCGATTGGCATTGCTAAAACTTTACGACACTACAATTTACCTTAACAGAACATCCTATGAAAGGGAAAAAATACCCAGCCCAGTCCAATTAAAAAAGAAGGGGAAAAGTCTGTTTATCTTAAAAAGTATGAGGTCCAAACTTTAAGACTAAAATTTCTCAATATCACCAAAGTGTGACTCTGCCATGTCTCCCCTTGTTTCTTTGGTTTGTCCCCAGTTGTCAATATCCTCACAACCATCACACTAACTTAAGTGTGTGAGCATAAAAAAAACACATTGACACAAGAACAACCATTCAGTGCTGGGGGGGGAAGTTTGTTTTTGTAAAGTGTTTTACGGCGCTCGCAACTGCATAAGGTCATATGAGAGCGCGGGACACACCTAATATTTTCAGTTGGTAGAAAATTTTGAATTTTGCCCGGGTGGCGGCCGAAGCCTACTCTTATCGATTTTAGACCACCAAGGGATCTTTAACGTGCGCAACTTGCACACGGGCCCTCCGAGATTTTTCGCCCTTGTCCGAGAAGGTTAGGTGTAGATCTTTCCTACCAGAAGATCAGGGGTGTGGCAGAAAGACAGCAGTAAGGAGGAGCCAAGGAGTAGCAGAAGAAAGGCTGCAGAAAGAGTCAGGAGCCCAGAGGAGGGGGCAAAGGAGGTGAGGGGGTGGGGGCAGAAAGTGGAATTGAAAGCAGACAACAGACATTGCTAGAGAGCAGGAAAGGAGGTGAAAGAAGACAATTTTAGAGATGAAAATTTTTCGGTCGCTACCCGGATTCGAACCCGGGACCTTTGAATGAGAGGCCAACACCTTAACCTCTAGGCCACGAGAGCCCCCTGGGGGGGAAGAGGCAAGAAATGGTGAAATGGTATAGGTTTAACGCCTCTATCAACACTACTTGAAGAAGCAAGAAAGACATGTAGAAACAACAAGGGGGCAGAAAAGAAGTAGGATGTACCAATGGCGTCCTCCTACCACCCGCACACTAAACTTACTACAATGCTTTTAAGTATAGGTGGGTGACTTAATGCACACAAAACAAACAAGGGACAGAAGAAAACTAGAAAGCCCTTGACCCACAAAGTCAACCAAACAACACAGCACAGCTTCGTCTACCCGGTCCAAGGCCGCCGCATCCTCCATTGCCAACCGACGTCGCTTCAGCTCCGGCTCATCTCCCACTGATCGTCGCTCTTCTGTGGTCTGTTCCCCTTCCCCTGGCACTTTCCCGCCCGGATGCTCTGGATCCAGTCCAGGTGTCTGCCAAAATGATATAACTTGTGTAAGCTTTCGTCCAAAAATATACAACATGCAGTATTGATTCAGTATTTGTCAAAATACATAAAGCAATAGACCTTTTCACACAAAATGCCAGGCTGTTACCACGGAAGGATTTCAAATCCCAGGGGACTTTTCTGAGAAGTTCATGTTATCAGGGTTTTCTTGTTTCATTTCAGTGTTAGTCAAATGACATATTGTGTCCGTGTTTGTAAAATGTATAAGGAATTGTCAGAATATTGTGTTAGCTAATATCAACACAATAACCGTCCTCTACGGATGAGAAAAAGTAAAATAGACAGACAAAAACAACAGAAGGAAAGAAAAAAAGAAATGACGCTTTCAAACCACTCGCAATAATTTCTGATGCCATATCGTCAACCTTATTTCACAAGCACCCCAAGTAATTTTTTTCCACTTCAGAGAAAATCAAAGAAAAAAAGTGTGCCCAAATCAGTACCCTGAATTGAGCTCTCCATCACTTTACAGTAAAAAACTGGAAAGATTAGAAACGGAACAAGACGGAAGCTGTATA